TGATGGGGGGTGGGGCCGGCCAGGAGGAGGGGCCGTGGGCAGTTGGCTGGCCAGCCCTCCTGGTGGAACTCCCAGTCGAGGGGACAATTTGCATATTAGTCTTTTATTATATAGGATATTCCCCTATTTTTGTATTTAAACATAGTACAAATGCTCTGTGCTCTTGCTCCTCCTATGGCAAAATGTAAATATAAACATGTGTCTTTGGGAAATATAAAGATGAATATTAACAAAAGAAGGGTTATTCACCAAAAAGTATTATTGTCACATTACTATTTCTATATTTCAACAATAGCTGAGTAGAATAGGAGAACTCTGACTATGAAATAGTTTCATACATAAGAAAATAATATTTATTTGCTGTACTGATATTTTAAAATTCCTTTTTAAAACACTAGTATAAGATCCTAACCTCAACATGTGGTTTAGCACCATAAATCCATCATCTTCCTTGTTACCACACGTTTTCTACCAACTAGTGAACTCCCATCCATCAGCGGCTCCTCCATCCATCAAGTTGTGTCAGAAACACTCTGTAATGTCACTCTAACCTTCTTCCCCAAGTCGGAAACACTTCCGCAAAAGAACTACTTCTTCAGAGAAAGAAAATGGTTGGCTACAAAAATATTGGAAATATGAACCCAAAGTATGCAGTGAGATCTGGGTCAAGATCTACTTAATTAAAAATCAGTAACTGAATCCTAAATTACTCCTCTCTAATTATTAAACTTCAGAGTGAAGCTCAAGCCAGGATAAATCTGATAATGTAAGAAAGGGCTATATTATCTAAGCAACTCATCTTGAAGGCTTTGTGGAGTCATATCCATTTCTGAATAGTTATTTTGAGAATTGACATTTTTGTGGCTGATATTTTATTGAGGCCTTTTGGATAGCATCTCTATCCATCGCTGGGCAGCCACTACTTGGACAAAGGGTAGATGGCTGGCATACCTAGGACAAAGATTGGCCTGAGTTCAGGCATTTTCCTGTTCCCAGGAGCCAGCTGCAGCCCTAGGTTGTAGCTGGAGGAAGCCCAGTGATGCACAGGAAGCAGGGCATAAAAGCATTGTAAGCTGTAGCCTTGGGGAAGTGGGGGTGAACCACAGAGAGCTTGTGATTTTCAAAGCCTGGCATACAATTGCCCTAAAGCAGTGAATTCGTTTTCTAAATTCAACTAAATTCCACATGAACCCATTTGTCTTTTTATCTAAAAGTAAATTGTATTTATTATTCTACTCATTAATCTCAAGTATGTACAACCTTTTAGGTGTTATATTTATGTTATGCAAAATAAAATCTTAATGGTTTTGTAACATGAGTTGTCTGGTTTTCTTTTAAGTTTCTATTGGTTTGTTTTTACTAGCATCATTCGATTTGACTC